CTAAATGGACTCAACTGTTGGCGAAGACAACGGGTATAACAGACAACATCTGCCAAAAAGTATCCCCTTTTCTATAATACTGTGAACTCTATAAACGTTCACTAAATCTAATTAAAAGTCCGCAAATGTATCAACTTTTTTAGATATAACTATTAATTAATCATATAATCATATTGTGTGCACACAATTGGTATCAATTGGCCATAACTAATGGCAAACTCAATGAAACAAAACTCAAGAGTTATGGTAAATGATGCGAAGAATAAGCTGTGGAAGCGTTAGGAGTAGAGCACAGACTGAATGGCAATCACATTGAATACTGTACTAAAGGCCGGCAATCAATGCATTCGCAGTGCAGTTGCAGTCAATCACACGTTAACGAGAGTGCCATCTGTTGGCCAACTCTTGGCACCGCTTTTACGGGCAATACATTTGAGATTTGTTTACACTTTAGTTACTATTGGTCTCAAGTTTACCATACAATTGATCACTAATTGTCTTGTTATATGACATGATCATCACATTATAACAGATCCCATCCATTGATACCATTGATGGCAACAATGCGTGCGTTGAGTGGATCTTGTCTTTTGCAGTCACGCAATGCATTGCGAGTTTGGACGCGAAGACAGTCGTCGTATGAATACGATGTGATAGTCATCGGTGGCGGACACGCGGGTCAGTCATCAACGAAGACACTACCGATGGCTATACTAACGGTTTGATCGCTTTTTCCTGTAGGCATTGAAGCGGTCGGTGCGGCCTCTCGTATGAACACTAATGTATTATTAGTTACACATAAAACACAAACTATAGGTTTGTTTTGTTTGATTTGCTTTTTTGATAATTATTTAATTGTTTTTTACAAACAATGTATTAATTGGTGTAATGTTTAGGAGAGATGTCATGCAATCCAGCCTTCGGTGGTATAGGAAAAGGGCATCTCATGAGAGAAATCGACGCAATGGATGGCATTTGTCCCAAAATATGCGGTCATTTAACTAATGATAACTTTATAATTACTTCCTTTTAGTTGATAATTAATTTTTAGACATGAAATTCAGTTAAAAACTCATGTAATCATTGATTTCCAGATCTCTCTGGCATTCAATACAAAGTGTTGAACAGAAGTAAAGGGCCGGCAGTTTGGGTACGAATCCAATCAACAGATTTAAGAGAGTATTTAATTTGCATTATATTTATGCTACAAAAGGGATATCGGGCACAGATTGACAGATCATTATTTAAGAAACACATGCAAAACCAAGTATTAAATAACACACCGAACCTCACCATTAAATGTTGTTCAGTGGAGGACTTGATTATCAACAAAACTGGTGATCGACTTAAATGCGAGGGAATTATTACAAGTATAAGCTTTAGATACGGTTTACAAAAATACAATCAATTAATTCAACTATTTTTCAATGAAGACGACGGACAGCGTATAAGCAGTCGGACAGTAGTGTTAGCGACGGGAACTTTCCTGAGGGGACAAATCAATATCGGTCTCGACTGCTATCCCGCCGGAAGGATAGGTATAGTATAGCCGTGTTATTAGAAAAACTCAGTTTATATTCATTGATTTAGGAGATGAACCGGCAATAGGTTTGGCGCAAACCATTGAAAGTGCGGGCTTTAAGATGGGACGACTCAAAACAGGTTCAGTTAAAACATTTTCTCTATTCTAACCGATTTTATCAATTGCTTAATTATAATATCAGGAACTCCTCCAAGAATTGATAGGAAAACAATTGATTTCAGTGGTTTAGGCCACACAACAGGCGACAGACCTCCGCTCCCCTTTTCATTCATGAATGACAGCGTTTGGATTGATGTAAGTATTGATACAAATATTTTGGCAACAATTTTATAGCTTAATTGAAATATCAGGAAAACATGCAAATGAAAACTTGGCTCACATTCACAAACGATAAGGTTTCGCAATTTGTCGCAGAAAACGCACACTTGAGTCGACACGTGCGCGAAGAGGTGAGAGGACCCCGATATTGCCCATCCATTGAGTCCAAAGTTTTGAAATTCAAAGCCAAACCACACCAGATATGGCTCGAACCCGAAGGTAACATACATTTACTATTAATTTACATAAGCAGTACACGTGTAACCAATATATGCCGTACAATGAAAGGTCTGGACTCGGATGTGATTTACCCGAATGGCATATCGTGTACATTACCCGAAGAAATACAACAGCGTTTGATTAATTTAATCCCTGGTTTGGAAACTGCGCTAATGTTAAGACCGGGATATGGCGTGGAATACGATCACATCGATCCGCGACAACTCAAACACACATTAGAGACTCAACTCATTGACAACCTATTCATGTCGGGACAGATCAACGGCACCACCGGCTATGAGGAAGCGGCCGCTCAGGGAATAGTGGCCGGCATTAACGCCGCCGCTAAATGTCTCAACAAAAAGCCGTTAACTATAAGCCGGACGGAGGGATATATCGGAGTTCTTATCGACGACTTGACCACTTCGGGCACTGACGAGCCCTACAGGATGTTCACCAGTAGAGCAGAGTTTAGGCTTATGTTACGTCCCGATAACGCGGACCTCAGACTTACGCAAAAAGGTTAGCATTTTTATACCGTACATAACTTTCATTACAAATATGCTTTAAATCTCATTTCGTTTTATAGGCTATGAAATGGGATTTGTTTCCCAAAAACGATTCGACAATTTCTGTGACATCAGAAAAC